ATTAGCATCATGTCCCTCAAATCCTACATACAAGTGTCTTTCAGCCACAACACAGAGTTTTGTTTGAAAAGAAAAGGCCATCAAACCATATGGACTACGAATCAAACAAGGTAAAGATGAAGCTGAAATAGATATATATCCAAAATTCACAAATCTGTTAGCCTGAAATACCCACCTTGGTTGGCAAAACAACCAACAATAATACTTGACTTGATCAAGTACTCAAAAGAAAAAACCAACCCAATTATATACCACAAAGAACTTCAAAGTATTAAAGACAAATACCAAAACCACATGGAAATATATACAGATGGATCCAAAGTTGGAGATAAAGTTACATGTGCTGCAGTGCACAACAAAGACAAACTATTAAAAAGACTCCCTGATAAAGCATCAATCTACAGTGCTGAAGCATCAGCCATAGAACTGGCATTGAATATAATTGAAAACAGTGAAGAAAAGAAACACATCATCTTTACAGATAAGAATTCAGTACTAACTGCATTGGAAAATAGAAAAACACACAACCCTTTAACAACCAAAATCCTAAACAATATCGATGTAGTTAATAAATATAAAGAAATAGTTTTCTTCTGGGTACCCAGTCATATCGGTATAAATGGGAATGACAAAGCTGTTCAGGCAGCAAAAAATGCACTAGAACTGGAACCCTCAAAAGATAAAATTCCCTTCACAGACCTAATAGCAAGCATCAAATGAACAAACATCAAATGAACAAATGGCAAGAATCATGGAATTCTTACACCAATAACAAATTATACGCAATAAAGGAACCAATTTGAGAAATAAATGATTACAGTGAAATGACTAGAAAAGAACAAGTAACATTATCAAGACTCCGTATGGGCCACTCGAGCATCACCCATTCTTAACTCCTTGAGAAGGAGGCAGCTCCAATCTATATACCATGCCAGGAGGCTTATACAATATGTCTCATTTTGACAAATTGTTTAGACTTGAAGCAAACTCGCCAAAAGTACTACAAAGAAACAAACTGAAAGAAGTATTCCTCCAAGTAAAACCTTCAAAAATACTTGAATATATAAGAGAAACTGGTCTCTATAACAAAATCTAGAAGAGATTGGGATAAACACAAATATACCAAGATATATACCTCCATGAAACTGCTTACTTCAAGATGCCTACTCAAACCAAGAAACACATTTAACTTGAGATTCTTTTAAAGTCGCTCAAAACCATTTTCGGCATAAAATGACCACTAAGGTTGAGATGCCGTTAAACAATCAATCAATCCACATCCATATCGGCATACTGTCTGATCGAAAGAAGTTATTTCAGATCTTTGATCCAGTTGCCATAGTCTCTAGCTCTTTCATCCAAGGAAATTTGGCAGGCATCCTCTCCAGAGTTATAAATATGCTTTTGAGTTTTTTCCTTTTTCTTTCAATTCCTGGGTAGGGCTTCTCTGCCTTTTGGAAGGAGGAGGGGACATTTCAGGGTTTTTAATAGGGGAAGGACTGGGAGTATGATGTGGGGTAGAAGATGATCTTTGTAAAGGCTGGGATCTCTACTGAAGGGAACAGTTTTAACAGGTGATGAGAGGGGTAGAATATTTCTGAGGAGAAAAATGTTTGAGTTGCAGGTGAGGACAGGGTAGAGGATGTTGTGGGAGTAGCTTTTTTGGTATGGGACTGCTTCTGATTGTCCAACTTTTCTTTCAACTGTTTTAACTTTTCAGTTTTCTTGAAACCTGGGTCGTATTTTTTTGTTGCTCTTTTAAGGTCAAATCAGAGACTGGGGCATTGCCCTTAAGACTGACCGAGGGAGGGAAGGCTGTTTATGCCTCTCGTCATGGGACTGAGGCCCTGCAGTCTGGTGCTTCCCTCTGGCCTTACCAGCAACCTACCATTCCCCCTCCCCTTTTTCAACAACTGCACTAGCAGCAGACAAATGCTCTTCGAGGAATGGGGTCTTAGAACTCAACCCAACCAGAGGTTTTACCGAACCGGTCCCGGAAGCTGGCATGCCCATTAATGGCGAGGTGGAAGGTAGACGCAGTTAGAGGGGTATTTTGGTCAACTGGAGCCTGACTTCCAGGGGCCTTCTTCTCTGGGCAGGAAGAAGAGACCAGTTTCTCCACACTTCCAACACACCAGTTTACGACCGGTCGCAATGAACGGCAGCCTCAGGTTCCCTACTTCCAGACAGTTGGGGATGGAGAGGAAGGCTTTACAATCAAATAATATTTCAAAACTCCATCCCCCGTTCAGACTATCACAGGAAACACCCAGTATCTCGCTATACTGGGAGTTGAAAGCGGCGGGGTGTTCTTATATTGCCACATTGGTCCTTCGCTTGCCTTCGTATTCAGTCCGCAATATCAAGTCCTTTGTTATAAGGTCTCGACTGGAAGCTTCAACACAGTCTTCTGGTGTGGGTAACAATACGTCCCGCATGAAATAGCTGGCTCCCTTCATGATTCTGAGGGGCTTAAACCCCAGGGACTCCAGTGATTTCACCACTGTGTCTTTCGTTGAGCAACAAATTTTGCACATACACTTGTCCACGACAAAGACCAACACAATTTTTTTGTCAATTTTTCTTAGTTCTTGAGGGTCTTCTAAGAGTCCACCTTCTACGACAAGGTGTGCATAACTCTTAGCTCACTCCAAGAACTCCGCATTATTGATTATGCACTGGTGTAGGGGACTTCCAACAAGAGGGTGATTCCCCGGCCTCAGCATTCTTTTTTTCTTTTCCTTATTTTGGTCTGCATATTTTTTGACTTCTGCATTTTGGATATTTTTGGCCTCCATACTTTTAGTTAACTTGTTCAGGCAGTTAACTTCTTTATCTAGGGATGTACTCGGCAAAACTGGGTACTCCTCTGTGCTATCTTTGTCAGGCAGGTTTTTTTTTAATTGAAAATAAATGTCTTTTAATTGACTTTCTGTAGTTGGCCAACATTGTTTTCTTTTTCTTAATTAGGAAAGACGGAATTTTCGGGGGTGGGGGTCTCCACTTTTTTTTTTTTTTTTTTTTTTAAGAAAAAATATAAGACAAGGAGGGGTGGTAATGACAAGGCATAAAAAAAATTAAAACGGAAAAAAAATGTTTAATAAACAAAGTTCACCAAGTAGTAAAAACAAATTTAAGACGATACACAGAAAACAATAGTCACAAAATACTTTCAAACAAAAGTACAATTAAATATGGTAAATAAACAATACAGTAAAAAAAAAAAAAACTTGACATGAACAATTGGTCACAAACAAAATTACAACAAAAAACAACAGTTCAAATGAAAAACAAACGTTATACAAATGAAGACCTCAATAAATTACACAAAATCAGGTAAACTACAACAATAAAACTTTTTTTTTTTTTTAACTAAATATTAAAATGAAAAGGACAGGCTACAAATACAAAACAGTACGTATTAACTAAACAAAAAATTAAAAATTCAAAAAAAATAAACAGGTAAACTCTGGGAATTGGGTATAGAAAATCAAAAACGAAAAAAATAACTTATAAAGGACTTTAACATAATCAAAACTAATAATAGAATAAATACGAAAAAAGGATAAATAAAAATGGGAAAGTAATAAACTGAAAAAGAAAGTGAAAAAAAAAATCATAGTCAGCAAAAGTGAACATAAAAGGTAAAATAAATTAGAATTTAACTAAAACGGAATTTGTAGAACAAAAAGGTCATTTCCTAGAGTGGCAGGAAAAACGGTCTTAACAGGTCTAATAAGGACTACAAACGCTGTCCAATCGACGGCTGAAGACCAACATACTGTATTTGCAACTGTATTTATGAGAATGGGGTCATACCCATTATCGTCCGTAGGTATGCTACACCAATATACATGGAAAATGTTGTAATGGAATGTCCCGCACCCTCCTATCGCCTATGTGGACTGACTATATCAGTGGCAATATATAATGAGCACAGGATATACCTCAGGGCTTGCTTCAGGAATTACTAGCCTGCTACCCGATTCCATCTTTCAGTAGTGTATTGTTTTTCTTTTGTTTTTGTTTTTTTTTTACAATAAACCTCTCTTCTTTTATTCATGTATGTGTTGCTTTTCCTTCACTCGAGTACCACCTTTCTCTGTTTATAACCTCTTTAAGGATACAACAGAAAAAGATAAGAAAACCAACCTTAATCCTTACCAAGAAAATTGCTTGTAGTGTTACTGGTCAGAAAATGAAATTTGAAGGGGAATTTATAACAAGTGTCATGTTGAATGAAAACACTGAAATTAAGACTGTTTGTAATGAAAAATACAAATAACCTTTTTGGAATGTACTAGTTGGAGCAGGTTAAGTTATGGAACAGTCCAATCAGTTTGCTGTCAAGAAGTTAAGTTTTATTAACGAAACAAAGTTTAAAGAAAGAATTGAAAATTAAATTCTTAGAGGTATTTTCTGGTGGGTTTAGGCAGGTGCAATAAAATGAAAGCAAAATTCGAGTTAAAGGAAAATGTACAACCGGTTTTCAAAAAGAAAAGAAATGTACTCTTTGCATCGTTAAAACAGATTAAACCCATTGGTGTTCATATGTATAGTATATAACACCATGACAGGCAAAAAATAAGATTTGAAAACTTAAAATGCAAAAAAGATTAATTCTTTTGGAATGACATTGTTTTTGTAGTTTTCAGGTGTCTAGCCAAAAGTAGGGTAATAAGAACAATACCAGTGCAGACACAATTCCTATCATTGACCTTCGTATCTTTTCACAAAAGAATTTTGGTTAAAGGAAACAATGTTATATGTCTGAGCCTCAAAACCTGAGAATAGCAAAATTTTGATGATCCAAGCCTATTTTTTAACATTGAAATGTACAGTCTTATGCAACTCAGCAATATACAAGACCAATTTTGATATAACTACTGACCAGTTTTTAAAAAAAAAAGAAGAAAAAAAAAACATACAGCATTCAAATGTAACATTATCAGCAATATTTTTTTTTTTTTTTTCTCAGACAAAAACATTTTGTTTTTCAGGTTCAAATAAGTTGGAGTCTGTGGTTCTCAGTAAAATGAATTTTGAATCTCTTGTTCGTGAACTTCTATTAGTAAAACAATATCGGGTAGAAATTTATCGATGTAAAAGCAAAAATGATTGGTCTCTGGATTTTAAAGTAAGTAAAGCTATTCACTCTATTTTGTGCTATTCACTCTGCTAAAAGCTTGAAAAGTTTGAAATTCTATTTTGTGGCTGCTTTCCACCATTTAATGAATTTCTTATAAAAACTATTGGCAAGTTAATGTGTAAAGCAGTTGGTAACTGGAATGAAAAATTGTGCGTATTTGTATTAAATGTAAATGGTAATGCACAACACTGTCTTCTACTTCCTCTTCTTTAGTGCCATTAGACAATAAAGCCACACCCTCACCGTGCTAGGTGTTGTTTCTGTGGTTTCTTAGCAAATAGGGTTTTATGAGGTGGTGTTGCTAGCCCCAAACTCAACTGGTTTTAAATTCAGATTTTTCCTTCTAAGCTGGTTGCCAACCAAGACTAGAAAGTCCAGTCTGCTCTGCTATTTAGCTAAGAGCTAGGGAGAGAAGAAATTCCTAAAGAAATTAGTGTGAAATTGAATGCAATAAGCACTGCCGAAATTTGAATTTGGCATGCCAGTTCCACTTTCCCTGCCAATAACTGCTACAATACACACACATTCAAAATGCTATACAAGGAAGAAATTCCTAATTTCTTATTAACCAGAAAGAATCTGGTTGTCAAATTCTCTCAAGTCAAAAGCAATTTTCAATTGAAAATGTTTCAGAAGATTTTTAGAAAATGAAACTTTCCTCTTCAAATTATGTTAAATGAACCTTGTGAAGTGGGGTTCTATAAAATCTTCATATTTTTAATCTAATTTCATTTTTCTCTCAGCAGGCATATGGAGGTAACATGCAAGTTTTTTCTGTCTCGCATTTCTTCCTTTTTTTTTTTTTTTTTTTTTTTTACATTTTCCTACAATGCCATTTCCATGAAATTTAAAATATTTTAAGAATCAAATCTTTAATTTAGAATGTAAGATCTTCAGGTAATCAAATGTTTAAAATAAAAAGGAGAAATTAAGATATGCTGGTTAAGTAATAAGTTTAAAATGATTAACAGTAATCATACTTTGCCTCAATATTTGAACCATTGGAGAAAAATTTACAGTTTCAGTTTTTTCTTTCATGAAATTTGTTGTTGGATCAAAAATGTTTAATTATTCCATGCATCTAATTATATACCAAGGATAATGAATTGATTGAACAGAATTATTGCAATAATTCAAAATACAGGAAATTGAGACTGAATTTTGGTCCCTGTAAGCAGTAATTCCTTTTAAGCTGATTTGCAATGAACAAAATGTTGCATTTTGATTTTGCTTTTTAAATATTTGGTCTTTCTAATCAATTATTTGTTGTAATCTGTTACATTTAATCAATCTGTTGCATATAAAATTGTATTTTTTTATTTTTTTTTGCAATAACTTAATTTCTGTGATTCCTGATAGTTTTTCTAATTATTAAAATGCAAAATAATGTTTGTTTTGTTTGTGTTTTTTTTTTTTTTTAGAATTACTTTGATAGAAATTTTCATTTTCTACTTGAAAGGCATCTCCAGGTAATTTGTCTCAGTTTGAAGACATTCTTTTTACCAACATTGACATGTCATCATCTACAGGTGTTATTGCTATCAAACTTGCAACAGAAAATGGGCAGAAGGTGAGTTACTAGTTTTTACTTTTTTTATACTTTTCTTTTTTGTCACAACTTTCTGCAACCATTAAACATGGCATGAAGTAGGAGTAAAGATGAAAACTGACTTTGCATCTATTACATTCATCTTTCTGTCATCTTTGCTAAGTATTTCACCAACTGTATTTTAAGTTTCTGATCTGAGGAAGTCTTAGATAAGTCTGGTTGAAAAATCCTCCAGCACAAAGTGGGTGGGTTGTAAGAAAAGCGACTTTCATGACCATCAACTCTTGCTTATAAAAACAATGATATAAAATTTATTTGTTAAGGGTTAGAATTACCAAATTAATTTACATAACTACAACTAGTTCATGAGTTCTTAATTGTTGGCATCATTCATAACACATTGCAAAAACAGCAATAATAACTGTATTGGTATTTTGATAGTTGTTCGGCAATTCAGTCAGGGAGCTTTTAATCGCAAATCTGCAACAAATTACTTGTACCTGATCTTAACACTCTTGGTAGATTATTAGTTTGCATCCAGAAACTCTTAAAGTGAGAAAAATCTTCAGTTGACTAATTCTGCTCAGATATTTTCTCTAAATCTTCTATGTTCTCATGTGACCATTGGTTGAAATGCCTCTCACCACCAATATTAGGTCCATACTTGCTACATCTTGACCAATTAACATTATCCGGTCATGATAAATTTCTCCCACAAAATTCATTTTTCTGTCCACCCTCATACAATTTCAAGTTTAAGCATATTTTCTGTTTTCTCGTGAATTGCTTTCCCCATCTCATAGATGATTATTGATAAACTGTGATCCATCATTTGTTTACAAAGAACCTCTGCTCAGCCTTTATCTCTCGAGTCCTTTCTAGCAAATATTTCAATATCCATAGATGTTATCAAGAAGTACCTCTAACGTGTTAATAAAGTAAGATTTATATATTTTAAGATGGGGGCAATAAAAAAAATCTAGGAATCTGGATGTTTACCCAGACTTGGAGGATAGATATCAGCCTAAAGTAAACAGAATTATCTTGAAAATTTGGGTGTTTTTTTTTTTTTTTTTTTTTTATGGTCCATATTTTATGTGAATTGAAAGATTGAAATATGTCATGGAAACAAAATAAGTCTGCATAACATTGGTTACTTCATTTCAAAACAATAAAATAAGTTCCTTTCATGTTTATTTTGTTTTATGGCATACTTTTGTTCCAGAATTCATAGTTCCAATATAGTTTTTTGTTTCATTAAAACAGTTGTAACATTTTGTTAAATTTAAAGACTAAAATGCATATGATATTTCATACATCATTGTTAACAGTGGGGATTGATGGTTCCGAAGCAGTGAACTACTGTAAACCCAAACCAAAATTAAAAATTGTTGCTCTCAGTGGAATGCTGTGATTAGAAATAGGCCACTAGTTCTGGGCATCAGTTGCACTATGGGTTGGGCTGAAGTAAAGAACACCATGTTCAAAACAAATTCATGAGCTACTATTTTCTTGTTAGTATATCAATGTAATAAATTTCTTATGCTTATTACTTTTTAAGCCTGCAATTTTAATCTTAGTAAAACCATTGAAATATGAGTCTTTGGTTGTTGTGAATTTTTTTTCCAATTACTATTTTTATGTTAGTCTAAATTGCACTGTTTTGTATATAAATTTATTAAGAAAAGACATGGTATGTGACTTACTGAAATACTTAATATTGAGAAATATCCACTTTAGTTCCATTCCACTGTGACATCACCCCCTGTCGCCGTCCTATCCTGTGACGACCAACTGGCTTGGTGTTGGTCACGGCACCAAATGTGACGTTCTAAGCTTTTGCTGATTCAGATGGGAATCTGGTTAGATTCGGTATCAGATTTGTCGTTTGATAGCTTGCCTCCAACATCTGGTTAAAAGTAACTGCTTTGATTTCTAGTCTAACCTACCCACATTGTGATTTGATCTTAGGTAGACAAAATCAATCAGTCGCCGGGCCCAATAGCAAGTCAAGTCTGAACAAAGGTAACTTACACAAAGTATATGTAAAAGAAAATAAAGTAACAACTCAAAAAGTTCAAATGTTAAAAAAAGAATAACAATATTTTATATCTGGTTGCTGAATACAGGACTTGGATTTCTCTCAAACCGCTAATGTGGATAATTGACACTTTGTGTTTGTTATTATTAAAATCTTAACATCTTAAGTCGTTTTTTTCTTTAAGAAACTGCTTTTGGTGTATCTTCAGGTGATATTCGTAAACTTGTTTTGGTGGTGTGAGTCTAAGTCGTTCTTCAAAAATAAATTGTTCTTGGTTAGAAGTTGAAGTCAGGATGTATGGATCTTCAGTCAGCTTCCTGCGAGGTGGGTCTCAGAGCTCACAGCTCAACTCTGCATCTCTCTCTCCAACTGCTTTCTGTGTTACTGCCGTCCACTTTTCCTAACTGCTGCGACTGCTATATATTATATGGACACCGACCAAAACCGGGGTGGGCTTGTCGCAAATTTTGAGATTCCTTGATAATTCTAAATCCACAATAAGGATTTTCTTTGTTTTGGACAGGAAAATTTATTACTTTCCATTTTTGGAAGTCCATTACTTTCTACTTTAAGGAATCGTCCTCCCAAATTCTTCCTTTCTCATATTGGTATCTCACACAATCCCCTCAGAGGCGTCAACACCAATCCTCCTCAACTCCTCTTTCTCACATGTTTATCTTCGCCTACCACTCACGCCACCATTCAGCCAATGAACGCTCAGCAGCATGGGTGTTTGCAATTATCGCTCAAAGGGGAAAAAAAAAAAAAATCTTTTCTTTCTTTTTCTTCCCCAAGCAGACCTCCCACGACTCGTAGTGTGGTCCCTAATCTTTATCTTAGCAGCGTCAAGTGGGTGGTTAACTGGACGTATTCACATTCTGTCACTAATTAACTATCCTGGTATCAAACTTTTATCATGTTCATGTCTGGACAATAAAACAGGTGTTTTTCCCAAAACCATGTGATATCTCCGAAGGATAGTTAATGGTTTAATCTTTCTCTCTCTCTCTCTCTTGGGTGGCCTGATTACCATTATCTCTTAGCATTCTGTCTTGTAGGCCCATGACCAATTTGAAAAGTTTCATTATTGCCATGGGCAGATAGCTATCTCTTATTCGCCACCCTGTAACATAAATTAATTAAACAGATCCGATATCTTATGAATAATTATTTCATTCTTCTTCGTCCTTTAATTATTTCTAAAAATTCATTTTCAAAAACAAACTGCTTTTTAGTGTCACAGCAAAAGTTTCTCTAAAATTATATATCGTGAACTTCCACAGTCTTTTTTGAAAAATAATGGCAGAAACATTTTAAACTATATTTTTTCATATATATTTTTTAATTATGTTAATGTTTATATTCCAAATGTTTGCCATTTTTGTTCTGTGTTTAAGAGGAGGTGCTAAAAAGTTCTATACAGTTGTTTGTAGCATAATAAAAAAACACCCTTAAAATGTTTAGGTGGCAAGTTTTTAAAAAATGTATAAAAAGACAAATTAGTTAAATTTTATTGCAGTTTTTATAAAAATCATAATTTTATTTTTATTTAAACAATTTGGTTAAATCGCATTGAATAATTTTACATGTAAATGTTAACTAATTTCCATGCTCTGAGTAAATTTTATCAGGCTTAAATTTACAAATTGCGAGATTATATATATATATATATATATATATATATATATAATATATATATATATATATGCACTTTTTATATAAAGAATATTAGTGCATTACAAGTCACAATCAAAGAATTTTTAAATTTTCATTTACAGTTATCTGCATTGTGACTTAATTTCCCAATTGATTATCATTGTTTTAAATTCTCCCTTGTATTTTCAATTTATTTTATAAGCAGAAGACATAAATGTTGTTTGCTAATGGCTCATGGAAGTTTTTTAACCAAAAAATTGACAAAAATAATTTTTATACTTTGTTTATTAAAGCAAAATCAGTTCTTAAAATTAGATCATATTTTTCACATATGATAAATAATACAAATTTCTAAATTTAAGTTTGAGTTTCATTCACAAGTCTAAAAAGGACTTAAGCTAGGTACCTCCACGAAATCGCTAAAAAATGAGCATAGCTTGATGAAAAAGACGCCAAACTTGCCGAAAACTAAATTTTATTGTCTAAATGCTTATGTTATTATTAAGAGGGAAGACCAAAGTTTTTTTTTAATTATTTTAAAAAAATTTTCCTTCTTTTTAGAACATTCTAAATTTTGATTTTAAAAAAAAAAAAACCTTTTTTCTATTTGTATCAGCGAACTAGTAAATAACATATACAATTTTTAGCACGTTTTTTTGGTATGACACACATTAATTTGAAAAATCTTGCAAAAATAAAAATAATTATCGGATGTTAATGAAACTTTCAGAAACTATTCACAGATGATCAAAATTATTATAAATATGTTTTTTTTTTTGAAAGTCATGGTAGAAATATTTTTTTTAAATATTTATTACCCCCATAACTAATTTTATGAAAACGCTGGAAATTCATCGCATCGGTTTTAGTGATTACAATAATTAAAAGCACAGGGCTTTGAGGAATGCAAATCATGTTTTTTTTTTTTTTTTAATTGATCGCAGTACCTGAAAATCAGCTCTGAATTGTAACATACAAAACTCAATAAAACAAATATATTATTTAATTTCAAATGCTTTTATTTGCTTTTAGTTGTTTTTATGAATATGGACAATATTTTCTGAAAGCAAAAAATTTTTTTTGATGAAAAATTGAATTTTTAATACAATTATTTGTTATTTCATTAATTATAATAGATTTTACATTTAAGTTGTTAAAATATTATAAAATTAGTTAAAAGTCGCATCGGCTTTCATAAGTGTCCTTATGAGATAGATCTTTTTTTTACGTTGTAAATTGTATCATTTTGACTAATCAGAAGATCCCCAGTAATTAAGAAATGTAATTTTGTGCTTTATAATCGAGCTGTAATTATAAAATACGGAAGACCAACCAGAATATAATTAAGTTGCGTTATTTGAGTTAAGCATTGTTCTCTGCTGTTAAGGCCTTTACTTTTGCAAAACATGAGTAGAGAAGTTAATTTGATTTTTCAATTTCAACTGAGAAGGGTACCTACAAGTATCAGTATCATCTTATGAAATTTATATGATCTTATTTTTATATTAATCTCAGTTATGACATTTTTCCATAAATGAAATATCAAAATTAATAATAAAATGAATGCAAATACAAATAACAGTAGAATGTAATAAATGTACATAAAATTATAGTATTTTATGTACAATTTCTGATAAAATTTCATAAGAAAGGTACCTATAAATTAATTAGATACCTTTCTTAAGAAATATGAAATTTAATGTCACTCTTAACAGTTTTATTTTAATTTCTTTACAATATATTTTCCATAAAGCATCATAAACGTAAAGGTGAAAGCTAAGTACAAAAAAAAAAAAGACCGCTGAAAGTTTTCCTTAAAAAATAACGGGGTAAATAATTTGTTCACGTAAATGTAAATTATTTCACTTTTCTCCTTCCGTAGAACAAATTAGCCTCATGGAATTCGTAAATATATCATTCATCACATGTCAAGAGACGCGAAAGTTTATGACCTGCTTTGTTTTATTTTCAAATTACATCTTTTTTTTTTTAAAAAGCTAAGTTAAGTTTGGTTCAAAATATTTTTTAAATAAACATTATAATTTCTGATTTTTCTTAAAATAAGTTTTGAAAAAATGATAATTGATATTTAAAAAATTTCAAAGTTAGATTTCCATTTTTTTTAAATGGAAAAAAATGGTCAATTTTGCTGACTCAAAAAAAAAAAAAGATTTTTAACGAAAATTTTGGACGTGCTAGGAACAATTAAAAAATGGAAAAAAAATACCCCAAAAAATACTTTGACTTTTCCTCTTAATAATAACAAACATTTAGACGATAAAATTTTGTTTTCGTCAAGTTTGGCGTCTTTTTCATCATGCTATGCTCTTTTTTTAGCGATCTCGTGGAGGTACCTAACTTAAGCTTTGTTTTATTTTTGCATGTGTATGTGTGCACACTTGTCCCATTTATTAAAAGCCTGCCACTTGGGGCAAAGTAAGAATTTATTTTATTAGTTACTTTTAGAATAAATTTGATAAAATTCAACTTAATAATTTTGTATCATCTCAGTGAACAGTCTTCTTAAACTAATGGTCTATTATCCCACAGGGATGAGTGTTAATCCCAAGCCCTTTTTTGATTACTGACAGGTTTTATACTTTTCCTAAACAAAGCTTTTTGAGAAAGATCATTTTTTTAAATCTGTATGAACACAATTTTAAAATTTATAAAATTATTATTGATTTCAAAAACTGATATTAAAAATTGCATTCATGTGTATTTATTTTATTTTCTGTTTTTAAAGATTGTTGGCATTGGGTATGCAGAAATACTTACACACAAACTCTCAGTCTGTGAATTTATTGATAATGATCAATTCTCTAACTTAGAGGTAAGCAGTCTTTTTTTTTATTATATATATATATATATATATATATATATACCTTCCATCATTGATAATTATAAAGACAGATACTAGGTTGAATGTATGATGATGAACCGGGCAAATTTTATGTTTAAATCTTTACACTCTTTATTTAACTATTCTATTAACTACTAGTGTTGAATTCTATAATATTGGTTCATCAGTACAGCACTGGTGTTTTAATCACCAAAAAGAATTACACAACCTAATAAGTAAAAAAAAAAAAAGCTGTTCATATGAACATTTGTTCAAACCATTTGCTTTACTGTTCATTTCTCTTAAAGAGACAGTTCTGAAATTACCCAAAATGTCTAAGGACATTGGCAAGTGTCAGATTTGGGGGCTTCAACAGGTTAAAATTTAACATTGGGAATCTAGTGTTGATATATTTAGTTTAAGAATAAATGGAGTTTGTGTTGTGCCAATCTTTCAGGTAATATAAACTTGTTTGTTTTGAAAATTTACCCTTACTTCCAATGGGAAATAGGCAATTCTCAACTACAAGGTAACTGTTGTTGATAGAAATTGCAATGGAATCTTTTTAGGTCATGCTTAATGGATTCTTGGGTCAAAGTAAATCCTGTTTGATTAGGAGGCTCACTTGAAATGTTAACTCTTGCATTTAATTGTGCCAAAGATAAACTCTTCTTTCTATGAAGCTTTCTGTAATCTTTATTTTCCAAACAGGTTTTGTATTTTTTGGGTTTTTTTTTTTTTTTTTTTTTTTATTAAATTCCTTTTTTTTCTTTTCTTTTTTTTCTTTTTTTTTTTTTTTTAAGTATGTTAATTTTTTTATACACATTGCCAACGACTTCAATTTGCCTTTTAAACTAGTTTTTTTTTTTTTTTTTTTTTTTTTTTTCATTTTATCCGATAAAAGAAAATGTTTCAAAACTTTGTTATAAAAGTGTGAGGCAGATTCATTGTACTTAGACATATTTCAATACCCTTATATCAATATCTGCTCATCTCATGATAATGAGCCAGCCAACGTTTCAGTTGACATCAAAATTCTTCATAGGCTTTCATGAATTTTTTTTTTTTTTTTTTACTGAATTATGGCTTTCCCAATTGTCTTGCTTAAAATTAATAAGGGGATTATTCAGTAACTTTGGCTGTGTTAACTTCCTCCCTCCCCTCTCGTTAACCTGGAACATATACATAGATATCTTTTTCTTCCAACATTATTCTCTATTTTTATAGGATATAGTAATTTAACTATTAATTATTTGTCATTTACAATAATGATCACACTATTTTCCTCTATGGAAACATCTGAAAGTTTGATAGGATAATCGTCTCAACATCTCCCTCCTTTATACACAAACATACTAGAATAATGATATTTATAAAAAAAAACATTAAAATTGACATAACATTTAATGGTTCTACCATCTTAAATATTTAAAATTTTACTTGTTTTTGCAGGCTTTAATTGTACAGTTGGGACCCAAGGAATGTGTTGTCTGTTCAAATGAGATAAGTGATAATACTTGGTTGAAACAAGTTGTTAACCGCAGCGGGCTTATGGTGACAGAAAAAAAGAAAGGCAAGTTTGTTTTTCTGATATATATAGTTGAGAATTTGTGTATAGCAAAATGTCATTTTGGTAAGTGTTTTTTTTTTTTTTTTTTTTTTTCCTATTCCTTCTGCTTTCACATGTCCTAAAAATGTTTTTTACAAACAAGTTTTTCAATGTTAAATTTTCTCTTTCTATTTAGGTGACTTTCAGAATAAAGATATTGTACAAGATCTCAACAGATTGCTTAAGTTCAAAAAAGGTGATCAACCAAATAGTGCAGCACTGCGTGAGTGACTTTTTTTTAAAAAAATTTTAATTGTTCTGTAATCAAAACATTTCACTTTTATTCAACATAACTAAAAAACAAAAAATACATTATTATATACTTAACAGCTAAAGGATACTTTTTCAGAATGTGATGAAAAGCATCACCTTTTAATAAAATATCTAAGCTTATTGATAAAATGGTTTAATTTTATTACACAAAGCATCAGTGACATTTTTATTTGGTGGGAAATTTTTTATTTACACTTCCTTTCTCATTGAGAAAAAGAAAATGAAAGCAAACACATTGCATTTTTCTATGCACAATTTTTTTTTTTTTTTTTTTTTTTCCTACAAAATCCATAATGGACAAGCAAGCATCAAAGTCTTGTGCTGCAGAATTGTCCACAGAAATCCAACACTGATGAATAATCCAGTGACCACTTCTGTGCAAATACAAAAAGATGTGTGTGCCCCGCCTCCCTCCCCAGCTTCTTTTTCTGCTTATATTTCAAGAGTCTTAAAATGCCTTATCACATTCACTGCTGCATCCTTTGTCCTTCATCTTAACATTTGACATGATTTGCCAACATAACATAATCTTATTGCTCAATTCATTAACTTCTGAAAATAACATTTGACATTTAAAAATAAATTGTTTCGATACTTTAATTATTAGTACAGGTTTTAATGTTGTAGATCATGTATAATTGTGTGTGTGTGTATATATATATTAATCCTTCATGTCAGTTTAAAGAATATAATTTTATTATAACTAATGAAATGATTTGCTGCTCATTTTTAATTTATATTTATTTACTTACATTGCTCTTTTCAGCTGAAGTTGATAAAAATGTTGCTATGGCTAGCTTGTCTGCTTTAATCAAATACCTTGAAGTAAGTAAATTTCAGTTTGAATGTCAATGAAAAAAAAAAAATGTGCTAAGATGCTTGAAATGCAGTTGTAGACAGTTGTAGCATTTGAAAATTACCAACACAGTTCTATAAGAGAAAATGGTGGAATGTTCTTAACCTGACCCAATTATCAGTTTTTTGTGTTGGATCTAGAATTTTTCACCAGCTCTTAATGCATATATAGAGATATTTAATTTTTAAAAAAGGAGAAAAAATTTAACACAATATCAGAACAAACACCAGTAATTTGTTCGAGTGAAGTAATTATAAAATGCACAGAGAACAAATAACCAAAAAGGAGGTGATGACATTAACTAAAACTACAAGTGTTACCAGAAAAAGAAATTTATTCTCTTGGGATATCTCAATATGTTCCTAAATGTTACTTAGTTTTTTTGTTTTTTGTTTTTTTTTTATTTTTACGATGTGATGGCAATTGTTATGACTCAAGTGAAAGAAAATTATCTTCAAAAGAAAATATTTGCTGATAATGTATCATTTGGTTTTTCTATTTCTAATGTAAATTCATGTAAAAACGTTCTCAAGAAAAAGCCATAAAAAACAATATTTTGGGATAGGTAGTTTTAGACAAGAAAAACTTGGAAGTAATGTGATGAGATAGCTGGGTTTTAATTCCAAGTGTCAGGATTAGTCCATTCCTATAATCTTTCAAGTTAGATGAAGATTTTTTGATAAACCAGGATAATTTACATTTGGACTAATTTCCTCATTTTTATTATCACAGCATTTCAGCTGTTGTCCTCCAGCCTTCTTCAGGTGCCTTTTAATTTGGGTAACCTTCAGTGAATTTCAAACTGAACCCTTTAATCCTTTACTGCTCATGGCTGGATATATTTTGTCTTCTCTTATTACAGCTCAGCTATTGCTATCTCTGGTTCCACTAAGTGTAAGTCTGTACTATCCAGCCCAGTGATTGAACTCACAATTACCATGCCACCCGATTCATGAACCAACACCTATCTAAGCTATTGTCTTGTAGGACAATCCTGAATGTAGAACTTAAACCTAATGTTCTTATTGTATGTCTGTTGCTACTGTTACACTTGACTTTTTCCACAATTACTTCTCTTTTTCTTACTAGTATAGACTTACTGTGAAACTTTGTTCCCTCTGTCATCATATCTCTTTCTTTATTAATAGTTCCCATGTGATAGGCCTACTAAAGAGGATATTAACATATATACTGATTCCTTCAGATATCTGACTAGCTTGTGTTCTTTTTATATTTGTATTTTTACTTTATTCTACAGGGGTTGGCAATCATCATTTTCATTCTATACATGATCATCCGTGTCTGATTTCACCCCTGAATACTGCTTTTCTGTGTTCCTTCAGCTTTGGCTTCAGGGGTCACCTGGTTTCACCTTTGTTCTCCTCTGCATTAGGCTTAACTTAGAAGAAATTTCTGTAAAAGGATGAGCAATAACTGAAAAAGATTGATATCCCCTGACATAGTGGAACAATTTACTCCCTGTAGATTAAATAACATGTTCAACTCAAAATTGCCTGAAGGTTATCCTGATCAACAGCTACTAGAAGAAGGCTAGAGAGTATAACAGCGAGAATGTTGTGATAACAACAAAGATGAGGACATTAATCGAAATTAATGACTTGTATCAGAAATTCAAACAGATGCATTATTTCCCTTGTCATCTTTTATACTTCATACACAATTTGCAACTGCCAGTTGTCATCACTCACCTATAGAAACATCATGCATTCAAATAGTGAATATACAAGGTGACTAAAAAGTAACTCCCTATCTTATGTATGATGGACTCTCCCTGTAAAAAAAGTTTTTTCTTTTTTTTTTTTCCCCCTCCCAATTTGTATCCCATTTTTGCATTACATGTTGCTATATCTCACAATACACTAGTATATACACACACAAAGCCATATATAGTTTTAAAATCACTAATATAGACCAAATGCAGTTTGGTTTTAGGAACTGTTTCTGTTGTTGATTTCAGTTACTGTCAGATGAAAACTATTTTGGCCAGTTCCAATTGTCTACTTTTGATCTGAAGCAGTATATGAAACTGGATGCAGCAGCTGTGCGAGCTCTTAATATTTACCCCAACACATATGAAGGTAAGCCTTGTTCAATTTCAAACTTTGGTAAAGTTAAAATTTAAGCTAATTGTTCTAATTTTTGTTTGAATTTTTGAAATGAGGAATTGTTATTATATATGCCTTGCTATTCAAACCAGCTTGCTCATCTTGGTTATTATATTCATGTTTCAGCTGTTGTACCCTCCAGCCTTCATCAGGTGTCCATCTTTGTACTCTGTAACCTTCTTGGAATCTATGGGAATAGATCAATCTTATTTTGCTTTCGATTTTCATTTCACTTAGAGTATAATTCATGTCATTTAATGGAATTGTATAAGTGATGGGGTGGAATTTCTTTTGAGTGTCCTTTTCATCAAAAGCACTCAGATGGTATTTATCTCTATGCTAGATCTACTGAAGAAGTTGTCAGTGCCTAATATATATGCTTATTCTTTCACTTGTTTTTATCCTCTACTCTTGTCCTCTGTTATCTTGAATTTATTCTGTAGAGACAGATGATCAGCTATGCAAGATTTCAATGTCTCTCTTTGGACTGCAACCTATTGACATTCTTCCACTTTTAGTGGGTGGCTAATCTCTTGTATTCCTTGCCAAAACTGTATGAAATGGAATACACACAATTTTGGGTCATGTTTTCTTTAATGGAAGGAGTTGATTTTGAAAAATATATATACAAAGTGTTATACTACTTCTAAATACCATCATTATGTTGTAAAGATCACATATCCTTTGAATATTGTCCTGATGTTGTACCTCATTTATATTGTAAACAAACTTTTTATTGTTCAATAAAAAATGCTGTCCAAAGCTAATAAATGCTATTTTTCATACAGTTCACTAGCTTTTGAATACTGTCCTGATTGTTGTATGGAGTGTAGATCCTCTGAATCTTTTCAAATATACTCCATATATATGATAAACAAATTGTGGCAGTTTTTTTAATTGACTGTCCCTGTTTGTGAAAGCTGATGCGCTATGCTTTTAGAGTAGTTGCATGAATGGTGAAAATTGAAGTTCAGGTATTGACGAATGAATTGTCACCAACAAATTTGGGAGTTCTTTTCTTATCAGAACAATCAGTGAGTTTTCCAAGTTGTTGTACCTTCCAAATCCTCTGCAATGTCCTCAGATTGGCACTCAAGCACTCTCCAATGTTTGTATTGGAGTTTCCAGTGCAAATGCCAAGCAGTACAGTATGCCATTTCCAAGTTTCTGGCAGATTGAATTGCATCGTGGTGCTCTTTTTCTCACAGGCTGGCCCTACTATGCTGTGCAGTTGACAAAAACAAACAACTTGTATACATGAAAGTAAAAATATAAACTGGCAACAACTTACACATTGCACCCTGTGTGTGTGATGGCATTACTGGAGATAGCTAATCTTTCTTCTTGTCAGTATATGTCAGAACCCAATGTCAACTTCTCCATCAGATTATCTACTATTAATAGTGTGCTCTCCAAGAGTGGGAGTTTGATTCTGACTTGTCTTGAACCACTAATGAAGCCTCATCAGTGGCAGTATTAGTGAATAGATTTGCAATATTCCAAGTTGACCATTCAGTTTGTTTGGATGGAAGCACCACTGATGGTCTCTACAAAATGGGGAAAATTCCTTACATAAAATAGACTTAATTGTTAGTGGGTAGTTCTACTACCTAACTACAGACATTGGTTTAAGGCTCTAGAATTTCAACATTAGATTGTTCAGGAGACACACGGTCTTATGGATTAAAGCGATGGCTAAAACATATCAGGTATATTGTGAGTTCAATCACTGGGTTTAGTGATACTGAAAAGTCACATGGTATCATTCAGTTGAAGAAATGAACAAGGAGCACAGAAGTGTGACTGGTGAAAACTGATACAATGTATCCCTTAAGCATGGAAAGCAGAATGAGAGCAATCTACAAGGTTACTGAGTGCAAAGACACACACCTGAAAAAAGCTGGAGAGTAGTTTTATGAATAATCAAGAGTGGTCTCTCCTTGTTTCGCTACTCTCCTCTTTGAGAGTGCTATTTCTGTTTACTGGGACTATAAAAGGACACTATGCATGAACATTGTATTTTCAGATGAAAAAATTTCTTGTGTACTTTTGTCATTACAAGTAGTATAGCAGCTAAAATATTGATGAGTAGAATAACTAAATATTCTCTCTCACTCACTCAGAAATAAATTACATGGATAATACTTGGAAGAGTTTTATTTTTTAATGTAAGTCCACGTTGATCCCAAAGTGCAATTATTATGTAGATAAAAAAGATTTGCTTAAGGACATGACACAGAAAATATATACTTTTGAAAATAAGAAATCATTGATTCATGAATTAAAATTTTCATAGCATTAGTAGGCAGCCAGCTTTTACATGCAGCTTAAGGAAAATTATATAATTTTATAAATTTATTACAAACTTAAACTCATTGATAAACCACAAAAAAAGTGAAGCATGTGATTTCAATAAAGAAAACATGGGCAAACTTGTAATGTAGAACAAATGCTCATCTAATATGGGAATAATACATAATATATGGATAATGTAAATGTGTGTGTGTGTGTGTGTGTATATATATATATATATATATATATATATATATATATATACATACATACACACACACACACACACACACACACAGTATTAATGCGATCAAAAATGATTGTTTGGTGGTAGCGGGGAATGCAGTTGTACTATTTATTATTTTTTTGTCACAAGTTGAACTTCTATTAATGTTATAATTTTAGATTCCTGTAAAAATTTTACCATTGCAAAAATAGGATCCATGTATCAATATAGACTGTCCAATGTAGACTGATGTGTTTTGTTTTTCCAAGATTTGCTTATGATTTGGTTTGAAATTTTCTAAAAATATCATCCATGAATTTGCCAACAAAAAAGTTTCTCTTCTTTGCTACTTTACCTAATTTTTATGGGACATAAGAATTAGGTTTGCAATAAAATCAAGGAAAAAAAATTTTAAAAAAGAATGCCATTGATTTTTCTATGAAATTTAGTCAACTGTTACTGAAATTCTGCTCTTATTTTGAAGTTATACTTTTGAATAACTTTAAAAATCTCTCTCATATATATATATTATATATAAAGACATATTGTGAGTAAATTTCCTACATCAGAAAATTCCACTACATCTCATCTTAAGTTAAAAATTGAAAATGCTGCTTATACTAGGAATATGCTAAAGAAGCTCTTACATTCTGACAGACTGGGTAGATTTTTTTTTTTTTTTTAAATACAAAGTAAAATATATATAAATATGTTCATATTAAAAGCTTGTTTCATTTTTATTGTAATTGTTTTTAATTATAGCATTGGAACAAGACTGAGGATCATTTATCTTAATTTTAGTTTAATATTCACAAAGTATTGTACATAAAGAAAATGCAGAGCAGCATAAATTTATTAAAACTTTATTATTATTAAATATATCCATCATTTTTTGATGACATATAAACTAGATTGAGTTGCCAAAGCCTTTTTGATTTGATTATTTTATCTTTCATTTATTTATTTTTTTAACCAGGAGGAAATAAGAACCAAAGCATTCTGGGTTTGTTAAATAAATGTCGAACAGCATCTGGTCAACGTTTGCTTACTCAATGGGTGAAGCAACCACTTGTTGATCTCCACAAGATAGGTGAGTTTGTTATTTGAAAATTAAAAAAAGCACAGATGTATTCTTTTCTATCTTGATGTTTAACAAACTATTTGAATATCTTTGTAGCTAATTTCTAAAGCAAGTTTGGCAGTTCAATTCTCAATAAGTAACTTGTTATAATTGCTTTGTGCCAGATTAAAGTTATCTTTGGAAATGTTCTCCTTGTTATCATTTTCTTTCCATTCAATATTTGGCATTCAAGAAATTGGAAAGAATCTTTTTTTCTTTTTTCTGTGGCCTTAAAAAATGTTTTAATATCTTTGCAAAAAGTTATTTTCACATATATGACATGATCAGTCCAAAAAGTATTCAGCCATTTGTATATTTTGACTGTTTAAATAATATGGATACAGATTAGCAACCAATCAGGGGGCTATCTTATTCTGTATACATGAACAGATACTTACATGTGGAATTACTCAGTAAGAAGCAAAACAACATTGGGTGAAATTGTGTAGTATGTGATATTCACATTGGGCTTTGCTTGAAACTTATTGTCCCAAAACTATTCACATCCAAAAGAAACCTTTTGGAGATGGTTCTGTGAGAAAACACAAACTTTTGAGACAAACACATTAAATTTTTCTGACACAAACACTCAAGGTGTTTAAAAGAAAAATTGGCCTTACAAAAATTCTGATATCTTGGTATTTGGTCCAGTTTTAGGAAGTCTATGTATGTATGTTATAATACTAGCTGAATTACACACACCTTGCTGCATGTCACACTTTTTTTTTCTTTCTTGTAAGTATCCACTAGATGACATGGGACACGGCAGAAAAAATTTTTCAAAAGTTGAATCTAATCCATATTTGTATAATAAATATTGTCAGAAAAAGAAGAGACAAGCAAATGGTGAGGGAAGAGTAAAATCATGAGAATGCATCCTTTTAGTTGTTTTAATCTATAGAATCACTGCCAACAATTCCATTTTACATCTGCAGAGGGATGCTGACACATCCCTATACTGACCAAATATCAATTTTTTTTAATCCCTTCTTAGTCAGACCCAGAACTTACCAACACGCACCTCATAATCTAGCACAAGGCCATATGAGTGAAGATTCAAATTCATAACAGTAAAGTGTTTACCAGTACTGGATTTATAAATGTTCATAAATGTTTATTTAGTTTAACTTTGTTTGACCTAGGGCAACAATAGTGGGTCATTTTGTATCAAACTCTATAAATGTCTTCTGACTATTAAACTATAGTAGCATATATATACACACACACACACACACACTTTTCTGTGGGCTTTTTTGTAGCCCTTCTTTTTATTCCCAATTTATATCTGATGCTATTTTTATTTCAGAGGAGAGGCTTAATCTAGTGGAAGCATTTTTCAAGGATACGGAACTTCGTCAAACACTTCATGAGGACCATTTACGAAAGGTTCCAGACTTTCAGCGTTTGGCTAAGAAATTTGAACGTAAAAAAGCTACTCTCCAGGTGAGTAATTTCAAGATTAAAATCATCATGCTTTATTGTACACATTATATACATAACTGTATGTGTTGCTGTGACAAATTGTATTCATGCAAGATATTTCATATTCAGAATGACCAAAACATTGTAAAAACTGATAGTTTGAGTTTAGATTTACTTTGGCATTTAAGCAGTTTGTCTTTGTGAAGATAAGTGGATATAAACAAAATGTTACATCTAATTTGATTTCTTGAGAACCAAGTATTGCATATAGCAATATAAATATACCTTGATGACAGGACTTAATCACCCGCCCCAAATTTTTATTTCCTTTAGAAATCAACAATTTAGTTTGTCAGGTTTCGATTATGTCTCCATTTCTCAACTGATTCAGACAAATGGCATACACAATTGCAATGCATAAGTAGCACATTTTGTTCCAAATGGAATCTTTTAATTAGCTTGTCAAAGATTGAAAAATGATGCACAATTTCCTTTGAAGACTATTTTAAAAGACCAAGACAAAAGTTAGGAAAAATGCAAAGGTTTGAAATAAAGGAACTGGCTTGTGATCAAATCTTGTCTTCAGAATTAGATATTGTGGTTTCATAAATACTTTTCTGAGGCTCCTTGGAATGAAGAATTCAGAATAAAATATATTTCAGAACCAAGCAAAGATTGTATCTGATTGTGTGGTAAACATGTCTTAAGCCACACAACTGAAATTTTCTACTGACAAAGTTCAGGGCTATTGTAGTATCCTGGATTATTCTAATGATGTTTTCGCTTGATCCCAGGGTCATCACCAGTTGAAGACTTTGTAGATATTGAAAACTCATGGCTGAAAAGTATTCACCTGCTTTCTGCTGAATTATTAAGTTAGCACTTATACTTTTTTCTTTGTATTCTTTACTTACTCCAAACTAGAAATCTTTCCTTTTCCTCTGTGTTACCAACTTAAAAATAATACAAGATTTAAGACATTATTCCTATATCATTTTCAGTTACTGAAATTACTGTATTTGTTGGTATATAAAATCCCTCCCACTTTTTTCATCGACAAAATGTTTAAAAAAAATATTTCCCCAGTTTTATAAAATTGAGATGTCTCTTCTTAATAAGTATTTCTACAAACATCATTTACACAAAAATAAAACTGTTTTTGATATAGCATTTAATTTAAAATATTTATTTATTCCTTTCTTTCTCTGCCAGGATTGTTATAAAGTCTATCAATCATTGGGGAAGATGCCACATCTTATTGAAGCACTTGAAAAAACAGGTACAGAGCACAAAAATTTATTGATGCAGTTGTACAGTAATCCTATTAAGGTAAACATCAAATCTTTTTTCTTTGTGATCACTCAGTAAATTTATAGAATGTTCCTTAACTCTGAGATTAGTTACTGACTAATGATCTAAAGCTTTACTATAGGTCTTTTTGTACACACTGTTGTTTAAACCACATCCAGCAGTTCCTTAAGATCAACAAATGCTTCCTTTTAATTGCAAACTAATTTGTATATTTGCATTTCTTTTTAGTATGTTTTACAAATGCATATTAAAAGGTGTATTCCATAATATTTTCCTCTATTTGATCTGGAAAAAAATATGGCATTAGTTAATCTGTTTAAGGCAGTGGTTTTCAACCAGGGTTCCGCGGAACCTTAGGGTTCCGCCAGTACAGTCCAGGGGTTCCGCAATTTCTAAATTAGAACACGAACAAATAAACAACATGTTAAATTCAAATTCGAAAATCTATTTTATTAACCCACAAACTGTCAGACGGCCGATTAACTGTTGTTATTTTTTTCAATTTCCAAATCATCGAAACTCTTTTACAGATTTTACAACCATGGATAGATTTGTGAAAAAACGCAAGACAGATGCGGATGAAGAGACACAGGATCTGAGGCACTCTTTTGAAGCCGAAACTACTACCAGCAATGCTGCCTCATCGAAATCAAGAAATGGTGGAATTAACCTACAACTAAAAGTTCGTCAATATTGTGAAAACTACATAGCTCTGGGATTTACTTGGACTGGAAACCCAGAGTGCCCTTCACCTTTGTGTATTATTTGTGGGAGAATCTGGCTAACAGTGCTATGGCACCAGCCAAACTGAAACGACATTTAGTAACTAAACATCCAGAGTTGTCGAGCAAAGATGAACAATATTTTCAACGACAAATGAAATGTAATAAAAGGCAGGTTTCTATGTTTGCCAAAAAGTTCAAGTTGAGTGACAAAGCACAAGAAGCAAGTTATACTGTGGCGGAGATAGTTGCAAGAAAAATGAAATCTCATACCATCGCTGAAACTGCATGCCAAGAAATAGTGAGGATAATGTTTGGAGAGGATGCTGTATCAGAAGTAAATGAAATTCCACTTTCTGACAACACAATAAGTAGGCGCATTCAAGACATGTCAGGAGACATTGAATGCAATCTTAAATCAGAAATACTGAAACATAACTTTTTTGCACTTCAAGTTGATGAGAGTACGGACATTAGTGGTAAAGCACAACTCCTTGTATTTGTTCGATTTATTGATGATGAAGCTATTGTAGAAGACTTCCTGTGTCTCAAAGAATTGCCAGGGACAACGAAAGGACAAGATGTATTTGATGTTTTGAATTCATATTTAGAGTATTGTGGATTAAACTTGAAAAACTGTGCTGGTATTTGTACAGATGGTGCCCCTGCAATGACAGGATGTCTTAAAGGCGTTGTCTCAATCGCACAAAAAAAAAATCCAAATATTATCCATACTCATTGTTTCATTCATAGAGAAGCACTAGTAGCTAAAACTCTTGGATCTGAACTAAAATCTGCATTGGATATGGTAGTTAAAATAGTTAATTACATCAATATGAGGCCACTTAAATGTCGACAGTTTGAGAAACTTTGTGTGGGTATGGAAGCAGAACATTCCACCTTAATCCAGCACACAGAAATACGATGGTTGTCAAGGGGGAAAGTATTGTCTCGTTTTTTACGAATTAAGAGAAGAGTTATTGACCTTTTGTTTGCAAGAAAACCTGAAAGACTTTGTAGAATGTTTAAGTAATGGCCATTGGTGTTCGAAGTTAGCATATCTTGCCGATATATTTCATGAACTAAACCTCTTGAACAATAGCATGCAGGGCAGGAACGAAAATATCTTGTCTTCTACTGACAAAATAAATGCTTTTCAGAAGAAATTGACAATATGGAAGAAACGCATAGCTGCAGGAAATTTGGAAATGTTTCCATGTGTTTTTAAAAGGAATTGTCAAGAAATTAGGCTACTGATTTTGAACCATTTGGACACTTTGTTAACAAATCTTGACAAATATTTTCCATCAATATCTGTTGAGCAGTATGACTGGATTAGAAACCCATTTGTAGAATTTGAGCCGCCTGAAGAACAGTTCACATTAACAGAAGAAGAACTTGCCAGTGTTCTAAATGACAGGACATTAAAGCTGAAGCATTCTGAACTTAACCTGAATGCATTTTGGTTGCTGGTTGAAAAGGAATATCCTGCAATTGCCCAGAAAGCGCTACGACGACTTTGCAATTTTCAACCTCCTACTTGTGTGAATTTGGATTTTCAGCTCTGACAACCATCAAGCACAAGAAACGAGCTCAATTGCGGTCTGTGGAAGATGAACTTCGTGTGTGTCTGTCAAAAACACGACCCAATCTTAAAGAGTTGTGCAAGAAACACCAGGCTCAAGTTTCCCATTGACTTTTTTCATAAGAATAAATGTAATCTATTCAAACATGTACACTTTTGTTTTCATTTCATTTACAATACTCTGAACATGAATATTTTCATTTTATTACAAATTGCATTTTTTGTATAATTAATTAAATGCTGTTTTTTTTTGCATAAGACAACCAAATTATTGCACAGGGGTTCCTCGAGCCAGTGGAATGTTTCCATGGGGTTCCACTCCAGCAAAAAGGTTGAAAAGCACTGGTTTAAGGTATACTTAATGAAGCCAGAATATTTGGTTATTAAACAGAATTTGTTTTCATTGTTTTGTGTACTGCAGAGAAAAACATGCTGTGTGAACATCTATTCCATATTTTGCCAGGTGTTGTACAGATTTTATTATCTACAATCTTGTAAGTCTTTGGATTAATAGTGCTACCAAATTATATGCCATCTGACTTTGTAAATAAACAGTTTATTGGAGCAATTTTAATAATTATGTATAAGAAATTCTAAATAAAAGATTTTGTTTGACATAAGTTTGATTTTTGAAAAACTGAGTAAAAAAAAAAGTCTATAACAATAAAACCCAGAATTTTTTTTTCTCTCTGAAAGGAACTTCTGGTTGATTTCATAAAATTCCAAGAGATGATAGAAAGCACTCTGGATATGGAGCAAGTGGAGAACCATGAATTTATGATTAAACCTGAATTTGATGAAACATTAACTGGTAAGTTTTGCAAACTTCTGGCAAAGCAATTCAGAAAGATTTAGTCTTTTCAAAATAAACAAAAAAATTATCTTACTAAATATCTATATTTAGCATGTGTGAAACTCATTCCAGTATTTGTCAGTGTTAAAATATATCGCCACATGAATTGTGGAGTGGAGTAAGGGGTGTTATAACATGCAAAAACTTTAATTTTTGAAATTTCAAATAGGAAAATGTCATTGTTAAAAGTATGCAAATGGTGTGTGTTGTTTTTGCTTTAAAAAAATTTATCTAACTTTTGTGAGTTTTCAAATGAAAACAAGTGGAATACTTACTGCTGAAGCATACAAAACTGTAGTTGTGTTTTCTTTGTTACAGCTTTGTGCAGTCTCAACATTGTCAACATATCTCTGTAAATGTGTATGCTATTCATCTTGTTTTCATAACTTTATGTAATAGTTCTTTGTATTTCATGTATTTGTTTATCAATGAAAGCCTTGGTTTGCATTCACTTCTCATATGGCAATTAGCTGACATGTTGATGTCCAAACAATAACTTTAATTTCAGATTTTTTTTTTTATAAAAGACGTCACTAAACATATGCACAAAAATAGTTTTGAAACTATCTGAAAATGAAGGACTTTTTAACAACCTTTTTTTTTTTTTTTTTTTTTTTTTTTTTCTTTTTTTTTTCTTAAAGAAATTTTTATCAAGTTTATTCATTCATAACTTCACTGTTAAAAATAAAGTTTCAGTGTTAAGGTTAATTTGTCCTCTGATTGGTTGTGAAATCTCATGAATATTCTATAAAAATTGGACACTGCTGTGCATTTGCATATGAATGTAAGCAATGAAACAGATTGACTCTTTAGTTTCAAATGCATTTTTGTTTGTTTTGAATAAAAAGTTTCAGTAAAAAGAACATATTTAGAATTTTTTTTTTTTTTTTTTTTCATGCTTTTTTTTGTGGATATTTTAATGTTTTCATCGCAAATAAGAAATTTCATCTTTTGCACATCATCCACTCTTGTTTTTTCTCTATAAATTTTAGCACTCTGCATTATTAATATTACTTTTCTTTCTATTGCATTCTTTTTCAAGGCCTCTCAATTGCAGTATCCTTATTGTTAATTTTACTCAAAATTGTTTTCAGTTGCCAAAGCAGGATATGAAAACACAACTATGAAATTCAAACAAATTTAAATTCAGGGATCAGTCACCTTTAGTAGCAGGATAAACTTTTTGTACAGCAAATGAAGTTGCATAGAATAAATATTAAAGAATTTTACTTTATCACAATTTTTATCTTTTTCCATTCATATTTGTTTTTAAGGTTTCGCTCAGTTTCTTAGCTTGCTATCCTTATTCTTTCTCTCTCTCAGCACTGGTAAAAAATGGTTGCTGAAGACATTAGCTTTATAATACCCAGAAATTCATACACAGATGTCCTCAAGTACACATGGCACAGTGGATAAAGGTGTTAGTTAGACAGTGACAAGACCCAAAGAGTGTAAGGCAGTGGAGAACTTGGAGAGGGGAGTTAACAGGAGATAACTGATAACTGACATCCATTAAACATGGCATGTGGAACTAGAACAGTCTACCCTAGTGAGCAAAATAAAGTTCAGTTCGACATTCCAACCACCTGAAGAAGGCCGGAGTATACAACTGTCGAAACGTTGTAATAAATGTGGCAACAAAGATTCAGACAATAGTCAAATAATGTAAATAGTATAGATATTCAATACATGTTTATCTGTTTAACTGTTACATATGACAACACTTTGAACTGATTCTAATTCAACAATTTAAAAATGCAAGAATTTAGTCAAAAAATCTTGTTTACTATACTGGTTCTTAATAAGAGATAGTGATAGTCTGTGACAAAGAAAATATGTGAGCTTTGGACAATTTATTCATAACATCAATTCCAATGTACATCTCATTTGGAAATTGGAAAGATATAAAGTCAGTAGAATTTAATAAAATTTGTTTGGATGAATTCTTGCTGCCTAAATATACATATATTTTGCTTATTTTCCTTAAATCTTTTTCAAGGTTTCTTACTGCCTACATTTTCTCCTTTGCACTTCCTCCTTTGTCTATGTAATATATAGGTTCCTTGTACAGAAAGCCATATTGGGCAGATATTTTATTGTGATCTCAGGTAAAAAAAAAACTCATAGCAGTTGAGTATACAAACAAGCACAATAATATTTTTAATTTGGTTAATGCTTAAAATGCTTTTTCAGTTATAAGAAACTTGTTAAAAACAAACATACTCAGTTAAATAAAATATCTAGAATAATGAAAATACTTAATCATGTAACTTCAGGCACATGCAAGATTTGGCAAAGAGGCAGCCACTATATTTGGGTGACACTTTTCTATTCTGTTTTATTTGATATTAAAAAAAAAAGTGATAAATAAAATTACCTTACAATGGACGCTCAAAACAGTCCTCCATCTATGTCTTGTTTTTTTTTGTTTTGTTTTTTTTAAACAGCTTTACGAGAAAAGCTTGATGAAGTGGAATCTGATATTAAGGCCCAGTTAAATAAGGTAACTTTTAAACATTTTTTTTTTTTTCTTTTGGTCAGTATTCTATGTTGAGATAAAAACTTTCACAAGTTCTCGGACAGTAAAACATCTACCCATAAACTCTTCACTTATTTAAATAAATGATTCACTTTCGCACAAAATACTAATACCAAATTCCTAGTTTGAACCAGGATCTTTCATTCTAATTTCACCAAGGTATGATTAATATTCTCCCAGATTTACATAAACGTTCCTCTATTATCAGACCCTCCTCCACTCTCACTCCAATACTGTAAATGAAGATTATGATACTTGTGTTATGAACTTGATTAAATGCAAATGATTTTTCTTTTTTTTACTTGCTTTATTTTTAGGTTGCACGGGACTTGGGTGTAGAACCCAACAAAACACTTAAACTTGAATCTAACAGTCAACTGGGATATTTTTTCAGAGTAACACGAAAGGTAAAAACAGATTCTATTACTGAAATATCAGTCTTTTGAAGAACTTTCATGTGAATCATATTTTGCCTATTTGCTCCTGTTTAATTGTACAGACTTACAAATTACATATGTTCAACTGGATAGCAATGGTAGAGAAATTACTGATGAGATCCTCTTTTTAACAAATTCATTTTGACAAACTTTATAACAAAATGAATTTCATTCTTTATATAAAACTTGTATATCATTTACTTTTTCAATATCCTCTTTTTTTCTTTTTTTTTTTTCTTTTCTTCCTCCCCACCCTCAATCCAGTGTAATCTTCTGCTGACCAGCCGCCTTCAGATATATAGCATTCAATATTATTTACAAATTTTTAGCAAGTATTGTCTCATTCAAAGATGAGGTAGAGCATAAATGAAGCATGCTTGGTCCCAGATCTGTTTCCCCTAACACTTCTCCATCCTACTAACAGGGTAGGAACAAAAGTAGTATATCCTGACAAATACAGTTAAAGCTAGTGGGACTCTCATTAAATTCTCTTGTATCAGAGACTTTAGGAAAATAAATCCTTCGATTTATTCACATAAAAAAAGATACAGAGAGCACAATAACATCATTAGATAGAGAATTTTTTTTATTGGCTACAGACATTTGTATTGCAACCAAATAATTGTCTTTTTCTCTATCTGTAAATTTGGACCTTCAGTTGATTTTATCATGTTATAGTCAGGGTTGGTGATTTGTCAAGATTCCAGTAAATTCAGGAATATCACATTTTTCTTAACTTGAAAGACAGTGTACTCATTGTACCCACTAATGGGCTGTATCACTAACTTTTACTTTGATGCAAAATTTGCAGTTTCCACTCCTTGGAGTGTTCTGATTCTGACTCATAATGGTGGCACCATTTTTTTTTTTTTTTTTTTTGCTGGTGATGGCATCTATTCAAGAAAACTGTAGTCCTACCAAATCACTATAAGGCTGAAAGTAATCATCCAGCCTCATATTGACTCAGCAAGACTTGTTAGACTAGCATTCAGTGATCTTTCTGTTCTTGTGGAAATCATTTGGCACAAATTTTCTGATAACTGAACATTGAAGCTGAGCAGGTCCATACAGTTTCCTGGTTGCAATGTGCCAATTTGTGCATTCTCTGCAAGTCTACTTAGATTGTAACTTGTCGCACACATGGCTGTCACCACTGTTGAAATGCAAAACCACTGCCTAATAATAATGATGATGCAAATTATACTCAGTCTTTTTATCCTTGGTTGGAAATTCAAATGATTTTTCTTTGTTTGCTTTTTATAATTAGGAAGAAAAACTGATTAGGAACAACAAATGTTTTTTAACAATTGACACCAACAAGAATGGAGTGCGCTTTCACAGCACAGGCTTACGTCAACTAAATGAAGAATATGTTCAAAATCGCCAAGATTACGAAGAACAACAGAAAAGCGTTGTTACTGGAATCATTGACATTGCAGGTTAGGATAAGTCTTTTCTTTTTTTCCAACATGTCAGTATTTACATTTTCTAAATAGGGAACACAGATTTTAAAGAAAATAACTTATTAGTCAAACCAGAATTTCTCATGTCATTTTTATTTATTTATGTACTGTGTTGAGGAGGTTTGTGTATGTATGTCATAAAATAATTTGTTCTATTATCTGGTTTTAATACCCAAAGGCTTGTTTTTATCACGTTTTTGCTGTTGTGCCCTCCAGTCTTCCTCGGATGTATATAGATTTGGGTAACCTACAGGGAATTTCAAACTGAACACTTTATTTAATCTATGTGGGTAGACTTTCCTCATTCCACTGTTCATGTCTAGGGATATTGTTTATTTCTTATATTTATTTAGCACTATTCAGTTATTGCTTGCCATTGACACTGAGTGCATGTATGCACTGCCCAATCCATGGATTTAACTCACAGACATTAGTTTAAAATTCCCTGTAGGTTACCCAGATTGATATACACCTGAGGAAGGCCAGAGGTCACAACATTCAAAATGTGATAAAAACAACAAAGTCCGAATATAAATACTGTAAATAATAACTCCCCATCCTAGAAATTTGGACAAATTATTTGTTGATGCATTCTAAATTCAGTTATTTTATGATTCAGTTAAATTCCAATTCACTGAATTTCTGGAAACCAGATTTGTTCCATTTTATTTATGAAGAACGCTTTTTTTCTCTTTTGATTGGCATTCTTTTTCACTGTAGAGAATAAAATAAGAGGCTATAGTGTTTTTCCTCCCTGATTGAGGTAGGTAATGTTTTAATACACACTAGACTTTGTATCCATGACTAGAAGTTTCAAAATATAGAGAAATCTTTTATAAAAAGTTAAATTTTTCTTGGTTTGTGATTTCAGCTGGTTATGCTGAACCGATGTTGTTGTTGAATGATATCATTGCTCAATTGGATGTCATTGTCAGTTTGGCCCATGTTTCTGCTTGTGCACCAGTCCCTTATGTCCGTCCAAAGTTGCTTGAAAATGGTAAGTAATTATTTCAACGCATGAAGCAGTTTGCAGTTAAAAAATAGAATTTTGAATTTGTTTCTCCATAACTTTTCTAGTATTAAATCTGTTTGCATAATGGTTAAGAGAAAAAAAAATTTCACCTATTATCAACCTTGACAATAAGAGAAACATAAATGGATCTGATCAAATTTTTAATTTTTTTTTCAATGCTGTGTCTTCAAATAGAAAACTTACCCAAACATTATCTTCTAACTTGAACAAAATTTCTTTCAAGCAATTAGGTAACAAAAAATAGAATGTGTTGATCTTAAATTCTCTACCAATATTACTCTTGACTCATCTGGAGTATCTTTGCTTGACTTTTCACTTAGTACTGAGTCTCTGCTATGTGATATGATCCATCCATGATTTCTGCTAAACTGGATTCCTGCAAAGCATGTGGACTTGATGATATCCCTGTAATAAAGAAATGTGGTCTTAAAATGGGCCCTGTTCTCTCTAAACTCTACAATTGTCATTTCTTACTTTCCTGCTTGTTAGGAATCTAAGAACTCTAGCAAAATTTTGGATTCTTCTATTGATCACTTTTTAGTGGATTTGTCTTCAACCTCTTTTTAAGCCTAGAAGTTCTAATCAACTCTGACTTGGTTAAGCATCTCACTTTGCAGAGCCTTCTTTCCAATAAATAATATGGCTTTTGTTTCTCTGTCAATTACTGATATATTAACAATTATTGCTGAAAGTGTCAAGCTTTAGTTAAGAATGGTGAAGTTCAGGCTGTTGCTTTAGATAATTTGATGCAGCTAAAGGTTGGAGATAAGATGCTCCGGCATTCATCCATGCATCAAATATTACTACCAAATCAAGTCTGGTGCTTCAGCTATGTATTTAGAAATCCTTGACAAAATCTAAAGAATGTTATTGGTCCTAACCTGGCACCTTTACTTCAGTCACTTTCTCACCACCATAACATAGCTTCCCTGTACCTTTTCTATAAATATTTTCATGGTAATTGTTCTGATGAGCTTTGTTTTTTGGTACCTTGACAAAGCTCAGTACTAGATTGACACTTAGGCCTCATCATTTTACAGCTGAAATTGTTAAATGTAACCAAAAGTTCTATGCTGACAGTTTCTTTTCACTTGTAGAACTTTCTTTTGGGATTTTGCTTTCTAATCGGTTTTGATCTTCAAAAATTTAAATACACTGTCAATTATCATCTTCCATAACTTTTCTTTAAAAGGTTCTGGAATTCTTCGATTGAAAGAAGCTCGTCATCCTTGTCTAGAGATGCAAGATGATGTCTCTTTTATTCCTAATGATGTGGAGTTTGTGAAAGGTAAGGTTGTGGTATTTAGATTGCTCAGACATAACTTTTTTTTTTTTTTTTTTTGTAAAACACACACCAAATGAAATCACTTGTTAGTGTGGCAAATTTATGCACATCATGATTATATTTGCTGATGGAAAGGAGAGTGGATTTATTTACTGCCTTATCTTATAAGGCAGTAATAATGTGAATTATGAGAATGTCCCCATTCACATTAATACAGTAGTAAATATTGTATGTTGGCCTGCAATTGGAGATTCATTGTGGAATCCACTTGACTCACTTCTAGCAGTTGACTACTGCTTCTATGCGCTGCTGGCAAATTTTGTATGCGTTGTTCATGTCCTAAGTATTATCGTTCATTACCAACCTTCATGTGATTATTCTATTTAGTAATCTTCCTTAGGTTACGACAAATATATTCAGATTAAAGCTTATTATCTCAAACAATTCTACTGCAATTTAATGAACTCTCTTTGTTAACCATTTTGATAATGGCTAATTTACTCTGTTCAAAGAAATGCATTTTCCTACACAATACTTTATTTGACAGGATCTACATTAAAAAAGAAAAATGAAATGGTCTTTAGACAAATTAAGTGTATGGTGGCAGAACAAAGAAATAACAATGGTTTAAAGAAATATTTGTATTAACAGGAGATAAGTGGAGTTGTAAAAGGCGTGCAGAAGGGGATGGAGGATAAGTTGTGACTTACTGGGGCAACAGCATTTGGCAACCCATCTCTTGGAGATGAGCAGTTGCTTTCTCACAAAGTCTGTGAACCCAGGCCAAAATGCTGTCCAACTGCCAAAAAAGCCCCTTTGATTGGCTTTTATGTCCTTTCTTAGGCTCAAATTGGCTCCAGTTTTTATTTTGTTTCTTTGGGTGAAAGTTCTGGATTGTATTGCTTATTTTTTCTTGGAGTAAAGGAAGGTATGTGTGGAGTCTTGTGCAGTTTACTGAATTTTAGTTTAGTTTTTGGTGTTTGGAATATTCACATCCAGCAAGTGGTAGAAATTACTGTAGCATTAATCAGAAGATGATCTGGTTTTAGGAAGAATGCAACATCAACTGCCTTCAGATTCCATTGACAGATTTGATCAAACCTTGATAAAACTAAGTAAGGACTCTTCATTTTTTTTTCAGAATCAGCAGAACAATATTGAACCAAATTGATATGAGTTACCTTCATAAATGGGCTACGGTCCATGGTTATCCAACAAAGAATACTCGGACACATCACCTTAACATTACAGCAAGCCTATGACAAGACTAGTACTAGATTTGGCAGAACAAAATCCTAAAAATTACAATACTGTTGCAATAACGTCAAAGACCTCTCTACGTATTTTGCCGAAGATAGCCAGGTGGAAGATGGAACTCTCATATTACTTTCTTGTGTATGTAGCTCAGCTGCTTGCAAAGAAGCTGTATAGAATTTTGCCATCCAGGTGTTACATGCATTGTCCATATCACGAAAATAAAAAAACCTTCCCTACTCAGTAAAGGATATGAAAGAAATTACCAACCTGTGTAAGACTTGCGCTGAAAATAAACCTAGGTTTTACTAGCCTAACACCAGCTAATTCATAAAAGCCACTCAACCCTAAGAAAGAATTGCATTGGATTTTGAAGGTCTGCTTCTGTCAAAAACTCCTAACAAATATATGCTGACTCCTTTTGTGATACTCTGTTCCGATGTATCCTCTACAACTATCATACAAACACTTTGCTCAGTTTTTGCCATCTTCAGGCTACTCATGTATATTTGTTTGGACAGAGTGGCTTCATTTATGTCTGAACATGTACGGCAATTCCTACAAGAGCAAGAAATAGCCATAAGTAGAACAACTCCATATAATCCTCAAGATAATGTCTAGTGCAAGAAGTATAATGGAATAATTCGTGAAACTGTTCAACTACTGTTCAACTAGCAGCTACTGGTAAAGAGGTAGATTTAGAGAATTGGGAACAGTTATCCCCCAGAGGCCCTGCATGCAATTAGAATTCTTTAATGCACAGTCACTAATGAAACACACTATGAACAATTCCTCTCATTTCCTAAAAGGAGTTTGATGGAGCATCCCTACCATGCTACTGAATAAGAACGAACCACGGTTGATCAAGTGGAGCTTCTAGGTGCTGACCCCCAGTATGCATATGTCTGTTACTCTGATGACTGGGAAGACACAGTCTCACTAAGAGACTTGGCTCCAGCAGGGGATGAATCAGGACATACAAGCTTAATCAAGAGCTGTCCTGAAGACACTTCAACTGACTGAAGAAATGGAAACAAGGTCTCCTATTGAAGATTATGATGAACCTTTGGGCTCTGGTCCCTTGAGTAGTGACAAACAGGTTTCACAGAAGAGAGCCTACCCATCTATCAATATTTCAGAAGACAAAGCAAGCCACTTGTAGAAGATTACAAAAACACAGTATGATTAAATCCAGTTCTAGTGAGAAAGAACAACCTCATCATACTTATGGCAATCTGCCATGGTCATGTAGACAGCAAAGAATGCCTGTTCAATTCAAAGACTTCTTCCCTCTGTAAGAATAAGGCAGGGAAGAATGTGGCATGATCCATCTCCTCAATTAATGGATCTGTTCTGAACACATATTCAGGAGAACTCTGCTGATATGCATTGTTCGCCAAACCTCTGGGTTTGACCATGCTTAGCTTGTCGAACTCTCTGCCTTCGTGCAGAGAGGAACCCAAACGAGGCTATGCTCACGGGCAGTGTCTTGTCTGGAAAGGTAGACAAACCCGACCACATTATTACAGGTTCTACAGGGAATTTTTGCTTGAGCCTAAAGGCTTGGAATGCCCCCACATAAAATAATCATCCTTATACCACATCCTGCCTTGTTGGGAAGACTTGGGTAAATACCAAGTTCATCAAAGCTCTTACCTTGTTGGACTCTATGCCTATGGGCAATCTCGTTTGGTGAGGTAGACACATGACACTATTTAGCTATGGTAATTTATTGACTAATTAACCCTAAAAATTGAACGGGAAAATGCTGAAAACAGAAAAGTGTTAAAAATTATCCTAAAGGATATAACATTCGACATAAAAAGATTTTTTTATTTTCCAAAAAAGTCTATTTTTCTCAAAAACTGAAGAATTATTTCAACGATAATTTCACAAAAAGGCAACGTGGTGGTCTCTGACAATTAGTGATGTCCGTTAAAAGTGCTGGTTAAGAAAACAGGAATTGCATAAACAAAGTTCCAGTTGATAATTCTAACACTGCATGGATAAGAAATCCTGAATAAGCAATGGTGTCAAAGAGTTAATTAATGAAGCAAGCTTAGCCATGCCAGCACGATCGAGATGCCATTGGTGTGGCAGCAGTGGTGATTGGTGGAGGTAAAATAGTAAGAAAGAAGGAGAAGTTACTAACACCCACCGAAAGGAATTGGTGTGAGGTACCAATATGAAGAGGAAGGAGTTTAGGAGGATAGCTATCCTGCAACCTCTCCTCACGGACGGAGGGATCCCACCCCCAGAAATAGGAAGTAATTAATTTTCCTAGCTAGACAACAAAAGGAGTATTGTTGGAAATCGGGGATCTATCAAAAAAAAACAGATTGCATCTACCCCCGCACTTATAAGCAAGCATCCTCTGGCAGTTCGCCAGTTTCAGTCAGTTCCAGTGTAAGCACAGGAGCCAGAGTTGCCGCACAGAGCTGACTGAAAGATTCCATGATTCTTGCCTCTGACTTTGCCTTCCTACAAACAGCAAGTTATACTGGCGAATGAAGGTAAGCCAGCACTTAAAAACTAAACCAGTTGACTTAGATAGAAGACCAGAACTTGCCTAGAAGTTACTTCTAACTTCTTCATAATAGTGTCACTCTCAGAAGAAACAGGTTGAGAAGAAAACACACTCCTGTATAGAACAGGCTGATAAAAGTTGATTTGCTTTCTTTAAACTTACCTGAACATTTTTGGTTTTCATTTATTTCTTTTTTTTGCTTGTGCGACGTCACCTCCAGTTTAGACTCACCTTGCACTACGGCCATGGTGCCTGATTGATCTTGTCAACCTAAGATCAAAATCACAATGTGTGTAGGTTAGACTTGAAATCAAGGTAGTTACTTCAGTAACCAGTCATTGGAAGTGAGAAGGGTAGCAATGACCACCAATCAACTTGGTCACATATTGGTGGCAGTGACTAAGAGTCAAACTCAGAACATCCCAATAGGTGTAACAGATGGGCACCCAACACTGTGTATGTGGGATCCATGGGAAATTTTTGCCCAAGTGTACACATTCAGAAAGCCCCACATTAAAAACCTGTCTTGTGCCACATCCTGCATTGTGGGGAGGATTTGGGTAAATACCATTTCATTAAAGCTTACTGTTAAGCAAATGCGTATTGTCTCAAACAATTCAGCTGCAATTTATTTACTATTTGACACATTTAAATAATGAAAAACAAGTGACTAATTCAGATAATTATAAATAATTTTAAAAATAGAAAAAAAGCACAACTTGGTATCTCTAATTCCATCCCCTATTCAAACCACAAATGGGGATTTAATATGCCCAAGTTGAATGTTTGAATAATGGTTCCTTTAAAGTCTGTTTACATTATTCGGACTATTGTCCTCATCTTTGTCGCCATGTTTATCACAACGTTTCGGCCGTTGTATGCTCTGGCCTTCTTCAGGTGGTTGGAATTTCTAACTGAACCCTTTATTTTTCTCACTGGTGTAGACTGTTCTAGTTCCATGTGCCATGTTTGATGGATGTCAGTTATCTCCTGCTGAAAGTTCTCCACTCTATTGAACTCACACTCTTTGGGTCCTGTCACTGGATCTAACCAACACCTTTATCCACTGTGCCATGTGTCCTTGAGGACATCTGGGTATGAATTTCTGGGTATTATAAACCTAATGTCCTCAGCAACCATTTTTACCAGTACTCATATTGCAACTTTGTTGTTATCATTGCTTTTCTCTGGCACCAGTAATAACTCCTTATTACTGGTTCCC